TTCAATACGACGCTCCTCCATGTCCTGAATACGCTGTCGCACACAAAACATTGATATATTATATTTACTATAATACTACTATTGAGGTTATACTACTAGTTCAACACACACCAGAGTACAACACCAATTATCAGGTATGGTATGTGAGTCCTGAGGGAATCAAACCCATGACTACCTTTGCTTCCAAGGGAGGCAGGCTAACCACTACACTATGCTAACACTGTACATATACTATACTACACAAACAGTACCAGTACTGCCCGTTCATGTTATTTATGAAGTAGAAAGTCTTAATTACCTGGTATATAACAGGTACCAGAGTGTGGTAGTGCTGGTGCTGGTCCTGGTTAAACTGGCTTAAACTGGTCACATAGTCCTTCCTCGATTCTTCAGCAGCTTGTTGTTTCTGTTGAGCCGTCTGTCGAGCCTGAAACCACGAATTACGTAATAAAATAAAATAAATTCACTGAGACCATAAAATATAAGGAGTACATTTTACCTAGCAACTGGTGAAATCACTGTATAAGCTACAAAACTTATAACTGAACTTATAGGGGAAGATTTACAGTTTTGTATAATTATAAAGGTTTGTCTTCCCTTCCCTGGGCTGTACCATAGGTGGCACTATCCATACATATACACACTTCAAAGCCCCTTTTAATGATAAACAAATACTAGAGTATTTTTTTATGTAAATATAAAACAATGAGCGTTAACTCAATCCATCTACAGTAGCATGTTAGCGCTATTAGCAGGGTTGTATTAGCATTTACTATTTAAGGTGCGTATTAGCCCCGAGCTAGCATGTAGCATTTCATTTTGACAGTCAGCAATCAAACCATGGCTAGGCTAAGTTAGCCATGTATGTTCTGTGTCCCTTTAAAATTAATTGGAGAATTTATTTTTAAATCATTCTATTAGCTTTTTGGAGACACCTTTTTTTAAACAAGAGGGGAAAGTTTGGTCATATTTTTTTTTAAAAAAACAAGGTTCTCCTGTAAAATTAATAGAACATACCTTCAGTGAGCAGCGCTGAGAGACAGACAGACAGGAAGAGAGAAAGGAAATACATTTTGATTGGTTTTTGTTCTTTCTGTAATATTAGCTCTTTTACCAATGCTATTGTTTTACACGACCCAAACCTTTTCTCCGTCCGTCTTGTTCTCCAGGTCGATTCTGTCAGAGACGTGTCGAGCTCGCTCGGCCTCCTTGCAGTCGCGTTCAAACCGGCGTTTACTCTAAAGTAGAAGAGCACAAATCGAAAACCGTGTCCTCACCTCGGCCAAGTGGACAAATGTGTGTGAGAGAGGTGAGAAATACTCACAGACTCCAGCTGTTTCCACGAGCTCTCGATATGCTGCTGGGCACGACGGCCATCTTGGAAATGCTGCAATGAAGGCACAAAAAAAATCTATTTTTCTAGGTTACACTTTTAATTTAA